TTCCTGGTAGTCCTTAAAGACATTCATTCATTCACTTCCTGCTAGCTCCAGCTTGACTGAGGGCCTGTAATGTGCCATGCACGCACAATGGGATTAATAAGAAGAGTTCCTGCCCAGAGGAGTTCACTGTAGTGGGATGTACAGACCCAACATGCTGCCAGATGTGCTGACAGTGTTAGGGAAGCACTGAGGAGCGCCTCACCTGCCTTGGGGAAAGGTGACAGGGAAGGGTCTTGAAGGTGTTGATACTTGAGTCCTAAGAGTGTGTGGGTATCAAGGTGAGGCACTGACTTAGGCAAAGGTACAGAGAAATAATGTGGTGTGTACAGGCCAATAGCGAGCAGATGAGCTTGCTGTAACAGAAGCAGGGGCCAAAAAAATGTAGAATTTTCTAGTAAGTTGCACCATATGAAATTGTCATTTTTGTAGGCCAGAAAAAAAAAATAAGCAGATATTATTAATATCATATGGTTCAAGCTAATACGTCACCCTAATCACCCTGGATTTTTCTTAGTCTTTCTCAAACTTCTGTTATTCTTGAACCACCATAATGTTTTCCCCTCCAGTGAGTTCCTACCTACTAAGGATCCTCTTCATTTTAATGAGACTTGCTTTCTTTTTTTTTAACTCAAATTATTTTAAAAGGAAACCTTAAGTTAAAAATGAAAATAAACTATCAATCGAAAAGAAGATAATTGTAAAATGAAACTCAGTCAAAACAGAACACTTGCTGGAGGTTGCTGCCCCCTTTACTCTGTATAAAGATTGTCCCCTTCAACAAATCAAAGGGGGTTGGGTGGCATCTAAGCAATCATTAGAGAAGTGTACAGACAGTTTGAGAGAATAGATGTTGTTTAAGAGCCCAAGAAAATACATGGCAGAATTAAAGGGGAGTGGGGTGGGAGAAGAAATCAAGAAATGTTTGGGAATGAAAATCACTAGGATTAATGAGATTTAGCAGGAGAGGAACAAGGCCTCCAGAATGACTTTTTGGTTTCTAGCCTGGAAGACTGGGGGTAGATGATGGTGCCACCTATAGATACGGGAAACTGATTTTAGGAGAGAGGGATATGAAGTAAATCTTGCACAACTTGCATTTGAGATGCCTAGCACAGCCAAGGGAGGGTTCAGAGCAGTTCTTTAACGTGAGCCCTCCCGTAGAGGGGCTGTGGAGGCAGCTGCTTTGGGGAATGTGCTTTATATAAACAAGCAGAGGTTTGCCCTCCCCTATGAAGGAGTCCAGGAAAATCCCAGGGGGCAGCTGTGTTCTCTGTCATCTCTGACTCAACACCTCCTAGCTCACCAGAGGAGAGGAGGTGTAAGGAGATGGCAAGTTGCATCTTGAACCTGCTGAGTCATAGGCCATGGGGGACCTTCTGGGGGCAAAGTCTGTTCAGAGATTCTAAATTCCACCCAGGCAATCAATGTTTGAGACTAGACCTATAAACCTGGGAATCACTAGCCTATAGGTATTGGTGGAATATCAAGAGTGTGGACGAGAATGCCCAAAGAGAATGTAGTATCATAAAAGTAACAGGCCCAGGACTAAATCCAGACGAACTATGGTATCGAAGGGGGGAAAAGTGGTGGAAAAGAAGACCATTAAGGGGAGGACAGTCAGAAATTTTGAAGTTAATCAGGAGAGTTAAGTATCAAGGAGACGAACAGACTGGAGTTTCATGGGAGAAGAGAAGAAAAATCATCAAAAGGATATAGCAGAGAGGGTTGACATGATATAAACACTTTAAGGGGTATTTATCCCCTGGTGGCCTACGGATTAAGTCTCAGTGCTCACTGCATGGGCCCTTGCTGTGACTGCCTGAGTTCCATCCTGCCCAGGGAGCTGACCCACATGGTGCAGCAGACCTCTCCTGTCTCGCCCACTGCTCCCCTCAGCAGTATATTTCAGTAAACCCACCTGTTCTGCCCCCAACTCTGTCTCTGATGAATCCTCTCACACACACCCCCACCCGACACCTCTGGCCTATACCCCAGTTCTTCTACACAAAATAAATTTTAAAAAACAAACAAAAAACCCAAAATAACACCTTAAGTGTTACAACTGGGATTTTACTGGTGACTCTAGAAAAGTTGTTTTTAGTAGACCTATGAGAACATAAGCCAACATTTATATTGACAAGCATAGACAACGAATGTAGATTGTTCTTTGGGGGAGGTATAACATTACCTTTGCTGTTTATTCATTCAAAAACTATTTATTGATGCCTTACTATGTGCCAGGCACTGTTCTAGGTGGTGAGGAGTAAAGCAGTGAACAAGAACAAAGTATCTGGGCTTCCCCGGTGGCACAGGGGTTGAGCACAGCACTGTGAAGCTGTCCGCAGCCTCTGCAGCACGGGTTTGATTCCTGGCTGCCCAGAGATACCCACATGGCATGGCGGACCTCTCCTGGTTCCCCCACTGCTCCCCTCATGAGTATATTTCAGTCAGTCTGCCTGTTCTGCTCCCCATTCTGTCTCTGGTGAATCCTCTCACCCTCTCACCCCTCTGGCCTATACCCCAGTTCTTGTATAAATAAAAATAAATCTTTAAAAAAATAAAGTATCTGCTTTCATGGAGCTTATATTCTTGGGTGGAGAGGGAGACACTATATAAAATACATGAGAAAGACTAAGTAGTAACTTCTTTGAAGAAGTGTGTGTGTGTGTGTGCACATTTTCATTTGTGCCCTTTTATATAGGATAATTAAGTAAGGTATACCTGAAGGGATTACTGTTTAAGGGATTATTTTATTGAGTTTGTCTTAAGGCACAGTATCAGACTAATTATAGTCTTTAATTCTTAATACATTGTCCATAGTGTTAAAGTAATGTATAGTTTTAATCACTCCCTTATCTAGGATCCATAAAACTTCACAATAAAATACAAGTTTCTTACCATGGCCTGTAAGACTTCATAATCTGCCTCCTGCCTTTCTTGCCAATTCACCCGGTTCTGCCCTCCCCCTTTCTCATCCCGTTCCAGCACCAACGCTCAGGTAAGTGAATGAGTGACGTGTGTCAGTTGGATGGCGCCCAGCTTTTCTGGCAAGGGGAAGCAAGGTAGCTTAAAGTCAAAAAGCTTGAGCTTCGGGGTGGGACAAACCTGGCTTTGACTCCAGGCTGTGCCACTTACAAGTTCTGCGACCTTGGCTAGCTCACAAATCCTCATTTTACTCATCTGGAAGTGGAAATTATGAGATATCTATATTGCAGGATTGTTTTCAGGATAAAGCTGACAGTTAATGCATATTGCCTGGCACATTGTAAAAGCCAAGCATTGGTAGTAGATTATCTGTATTGTAATCATCATTACTCCGGTAATCAGTCCTCAGTCAACTGATGAGGAACCTGGGCGAGCCAGAATCCTGCCATGAGTCAAAGACAGAAGCAGGGTGACTAACACCCAGCTATTCAGACGTGAAGTATAGGCTGGTGTCAGTTTGGAAGCTGAACAGAACTTGATTCACGTTTGGATTTGTCATTTACCACATTTGAACTATTTGCTCGGCCTACTGAGACTGGGGTTCTCCATCCTTAAAATGCCTCCCGAGAGTGTGGGGAGGTAGCAGATGACACACCAAGGCAGCGCAAAGCTGGGCCATCTAGAAGGTGCATGATAAGACACAGTTCTTCCCGACCCTGCTTTGTTTGGTGTTGTTGTTTTAATCTTTCCTAACCAGTAGTTTTTTTTTTTTTTTTAAAGATTTATTTATTTATATATAAAAGCACTGGGTACAGTCAGAAGCGCGGGAGGGTGAGAGGATTCACCAGAGCCAGAGTGGGGAGCAGAAGAGGCAGACCGACGAAATACACTGCTGAGGGGAGCAGCGGGCGGCAGGAGAGGTCTGTGAGCCATGCGGGACCCTCCTCCGGTGGCTGGGGAGCAGCCTGGGATCGAACCGGCGCTGCAGAGCCTGCGGGCAGCTTCACAAACCAGCGCTCAACTGCTGCGCCACCGGGGAGGCCCTCCTAACCAGTAGTTTTTAATCTTTTTATTTTTCCCTAAAGAGAGAAGGGAGACATGGACTCCTCTGAGAATCTGTAATCTGTGAAGAACCAAACCTAAAGGGTTCATAGATGTCTGCTGATATTGGGCGTGAAAACGTCATCAGTCCAGACTTAACCCAGTCATGTCCCTTCTCCCACTCTCCATATCTCCCCCCACTATTTTTTAAAAAGATTTATTTATTTATTTATACAAGCACTGGGTACAGTCAGAAGCGCGGTAGGGTGAGAGAATTCACCAGAGCCAGAGCGGAGAGCAGAGCAGAGCAGGCAGAAGTGTTAGGGGGAAATGATGTCCGAGCTAATCCCATACAGGCTTTGTGGACCCCACCCCCACTCCAGACTAAAGCCATCAAGACTCTGGGAAAGACAAATCCCATCACCACCAAAGGGAGGGTGGCTGGGACCTGAGGGTGGAGTTGGGCAGCCAGGTTGGATATAAAAAACCAAACACGTGGGCCTTGGGCTCTCTCTCTGGCTCGCGATCGCTCGCCTCCTGGCTTCATGCTCCTGGCTGGCGGCGAACTCTGAGAGCGCCATTTTGGGATTCCTGATCGGCGGATCGGGTAGGACTCATTTAAAACTTTGTCTCCCACTTTTCTCCCAGAGCTGTACATTTCCTCATTTCCCCTTCCCTTGTAAATAAACCTTTTATTAACCTTTCACGTGTGCCTGCAGTAGAGCATTGATAAGTCCTTTTAAGCGCGCGGGTGAGGACCCACAGTCAGGCACCCCGTTTTGTATCGGGGTTGCTCTACAACAGAGGGACCGAAGTACACTGCTGAGGGGAGCAGCGGGTGGCAGGAGAGGTCTGCGCCATGTGGGGCCCTCCTCCAGTGGCCAGGGAGCCGCTGGGAATCGAACCAGCGCTGCAGAAGCTGTGGGCAGCTTCACAACCCAGCGCTCAATCGCTGTGCCACCGGGGAAGCCCCCCCCAATCTCTCCCCTTTCTACCCCTTTCTTGTCTAGTGCCATCAGTTAAAGGCAGCTTACCTTGAGCTCACACTTCTTCTAAAAACTTTATTCCAAGGGCATTCTCAGCAAAGACCACAACCAACACATTTCATTTTCTGGGCCTGAGGGCAAGGTGTCCTTATCTGTAAAATAATGGCGAAGATTAGTTGAAATGACATTATTGGTTGATAGCACTTTGCTGGGTATTTTCATGTATAGTGTCATTTTACATCATAATGCTGTGAGAGAGATCACTCACTCAACTCAGTTAATATTCATTGAGCGCTTACTGTGTTCTAAGTACTGCTTCAGCCACAGTGATGCCTCAGGGAGCTTACATGATGGGAAGAGACTAAAAAACATGAACCATTAAATAAGGCAATTTCAAATTGTGATAAATGCTCTAACAAAAATAAAACTAGCTAAATCTAATGCATTTAGGTTACTACCTGGATACAGTTTATATAAATATGTAAAGTGTACAAGTATCAAAGTATATTTTTGATAGCTTTTCCCCCTGGTAAATACAGTTTCTCAGTGGTCTCCATGGGCATTACAGGACATGCTGCAGTCGGCCCTCTTTAGACAAAGGGCCTCAATGGGTTTCCAGGCTTGATACCCTTAAATTCATTTTTCTTTTTATAGGCTTATTATATTTATTTATGCATACATAAATAAATGTACGCCAGAGCTGGGGTGTACGCCAGAGGTGTGTGTGTGGGGGAGCAGAACAGGCAGACTGACTGAAATACACTGCTGAGGGGAGCAGGAGGCTAGACAGGAGAGGTCTGCCATGCCATGTTGTTATAGGACAGGGAGAGGGGCAGCCCATTGTATCAGGGTTGCTCTACAACAATGTGTGTAGCTCCCTGACTGGGAATTGAACGCATGCTGCAGTGGGTGCTGATAGCTTCATAGTGCTGAGAGTTAACCCCCTGCGTCACTAGGGAGACCCTGCAACAGGGTGGTCCCCAGGAAAGGGGGAGGTTCCCTGCCCCACCCAAGGGAGGGTGGAGCTGAGCAGCAAGAGAAGAAGCTGCAGGAAGAGACTGAGGAAGGAAGGAAGCAGGATGGAGCCAGGAGACCTGGAGGAAACATATGGAGCCTAGAGACACGTGAAGAAGCTGCGCTTGTCTTTTGGTCGTGGACGGGGTGACACAGATGTGGGTGAGACCCATGGGGAGGTGACCATGGCAGCTTTTATCTTGATGTTGATTTTGCTCTTCCTTCCGGGCTTGTTTGGTTGTTTCTGACTCTTTTCTGTGGGTCCCCCCTGGAAGATGCTTTAGACTTGTGGCAGGCTTTGGGGCTTTGCTCTGGGCCAATCCCATTTGGATGGACTTTTACCCACGAGGGGACGGGTAACTTTGGGTGCTTCATTTAGAAACTAGACTCTTTGCCTTACCTGTATTGTTTCCTAGTTTTATTAAAGATCCTTCCCATTAAAGTCTCATATGTTTTGTGTTGATGCGGTGGATGGCAGAACCCATTTAAAATAGGCAGGTTTGCGGGGTTTGGGCTGACCCTCTCCCTGTCCTATAACAGATTTGGCGTCCAACGTAATTTAGGACAGAGCCATCGTGGTTAGTCAGCCCCATGGGGAAATTGGGCTTCCCTGTGGCGCTGGCTACCATAAGCGCAAATGTGATTTTTGGTTTCTCCGGTGTGTTTGTTTCATATGTCATTTAAAATAGGCAGGTTTGCGGGGTTTGGGCTGACCCTCTCCCTGTCCTATAACAACCCTACCCTTAAATTCTTAGCAGAAAGCTTAACCCAATTTCAAGGCAGTCTGAGAGGGGTGGATTTTGAATCTCGGATACCATTCCCTGGAGCTGGCAGTCTCCGCTTGCATCACTGTATTGATGAGAGTGGATCCGGCCTGTGAAATCCAGAAAGTAAATAACCACTGAACATGTTTGAAGGATGTGAAACAAAGATGAATGTAGCCAATTCAGAAAAATAAGCCCATTGGGAAGGAGAACAGTGGCCACAGCTGTGCAGAACAAAATTGCCCAGATGGAGGATTTTATATTCTTGACAGCAGAATACTCTTTTTACCAAAGCAATGAATTTTCTCTAATAATCACTGCCTAAAAAATATCTACTGGATGCCAGTTACTTAACATACTATTCAGTCGCCCAAAGAATCTGTAAAGTAGGCGGAAACAATATCAGCAAATTTAAGGGACTTGACCAGGAGCCACAGTTGATAGAGTTGGAGGTGGAGCGCAGGTTGTCACTGAAACGCAATCCTGTAAGCTATATCCCATCAACCTCAGATGCTGCCTACTTGGTAAGATGAGGAGTGGCAGAGCCCAGACCAAGAGAAGTCTGAGGGGGACCATCCCCCAGTATTCCTCATTCCACACACTGTCTAGTCTGACTCTCCCTTGACTGTGCCATGAAAGGCAAAGGCTCCTCTGTGCTGTCGAGGTTGCTGGGTTGGTTTTTTTTCCCTGCTTGTCTTTCAGTATTTTAAATGACTCTGGAGCTAACCAGCAGGGGTGGTTCTTTTCCAAAAATAAAATACCTTTAAGTTATTTTCATTATAAAAGTATTTTTAGTATAAAAATTTTTTAGTATAAAAGTGCAAAAATTCACAAGTGTACATAACAGATGAGAACCCTCCTCCCCTTCTTTCTCCTCCAAACATGTGCCTGCTGAGTAGAGTAAGATAGTTTTTTAAAAGATTTTATTTTTTTTGTGTGGAAGAGCTGGGGTGTAGACCAGAGGTACGGGGTATGAGAGGATTCACCAGAACAGAGTGGGGAACAGAACAGATGGATCTACTGAAATACACTGCAGCGGACGACACAGGAGAGGTCTGCTGCGCCATGTGGGTCAGTTCCCTGGCCAGGGATCGAACTCGTGCTGCAGTGGCTGCAGACAGCTTCATAGGTTGCATCTCAACCGCCTGGGCCACCAGGGAGGCCCCCCCCCATGTTATTTCAATTAAAAAATAATAACTGGTTCAGTTTTTAACAACCTTCTTGGAATGTCACCTGCGTGCTAGGTGTTTCTGATCCAGGATGGACTCAACAGCCTCTGACCTTAGGGAACCCACTGTGGGGTCGAGCACCCCTGTTTAATGTTTTATGAAGCAAAGATTACAAAAGTAACCCCAAGTGAGCCGATACAGAACAGTGCCATATAGAGAACATATGCCATTTTTAGAAGTTAAAACTTTCTTTTCTAACACATATAATTAACTGGTCAGAAAAGTATTTAAATACTCAAGTGTAATAGTTCTTTACTTTGCAGGTCACCCTGATTTAGGGCAATATAGATGGGAGTGGTGGGTACCCTTTCCAACAATGTAGCATGCCTTGTTTCTCTTCATTCTGGCTATCTAGGTTTCCCTGGGTAACACACTCAAAATGTCCCATGTGTCCCTAGTATAGGCCAGGTCAGTGAACAATTCTTCAAGAATCAGCTCGCTTTCCATTACACCAACGTTGCATTTTAAGTGAAGGGAATTTAAAATGCAAAAACATTTGCTGTGTAGAGGAAGGAGATTCCAAGGTTGGAACTAGAACCCAAGTCTCCTCACATCCAACTTGATGCCTTTTTCATTACACCCCTCAATTGCGTTATAGGGTACCAAGTGGTCATCAGTCTTGTATGAACTTTTCATCCAGTGCTGATTACATGGACTGAGTTACTGAGTTGTACTGGGCAACGGATTTAGAATTGAGTAGGTGGGTCACAACTCGTCATAAATAAACTACTCAATGGCAAGACCGAAGACTAAAATGACATTTTACACACACACACACACACACACACACACACACGGGTGGCGGGGAGGGTCAGTTGCTGAGGGAGGAACCCCAAGTGGAGGAAGGGGGCTCCAAAAGAAGAGACCCTCTGGAGTATATGAATGCTCATTTGAGGAAATACCTTATGTAGCTTCTCTCTCCTCCCCTCTCTCCTCTTTCCTTTCTTTTTTTTTCAGAGCTGAGATCTAGAAGTTAATCATGTATGTGATCTGGACTTCCCTGGCTGAGAGGTCAGGCTAGCAATAGCAATATTGGCAACTTGCTGCTGGAGATCTGAGTAGAATCTCATCTAATCACATCAAATGATACATAAGCTGCTGTTATTGTCAGTCAATTTTCAACTATTCAGTTGCTCTTTTTAGTGATTATAATGGTAATGGTGCTTTAGGGATGAGGCTGCAGTGCCTTCCAGGACGGTGTCCGAGCTGGTCCGACTTCTAAGGGAACAGTCATTCGTTCGTGTACCCATTGATTCAAGAAGCATCCACCTGGCGCCTACGTGCCAGACACCGGGGCGAAAGCGAGACCCGTGGGCTATTACCTCGCGTGGCTTAGCTGTCTCACTCTGGACAAATCCCTTTCTCTCTGGGCTTCGATTCTTCAGCCTGTTCAGAGACTCTGCGCTCGCAGAGGACCCGGACTATTTAGGTTCGAATGCCAGTTTCTCCGCTCGGCCGTCACGGGACGACGGGCAAGTTCTTTGGTGTCCCGGGGCCTCGGCTCCCGGGTCTGTGAAGTGGGAGCGACACACTTGCTCTCGCCGGGCTGCACTGAAGGCGAGACAGCGAGCCCGGCCGCTCCAGCTCAGCGCGCTCGGTGCGGGGCGGTCGCTGACGTCCACCCTGCTCTCCCCCGACGGCGGCCCGTCCGGGCCCTGCCCGGGTCCACGCGGCGCGGCTCACCCTCCTCTCCGGGGCGCGGGAGCGGGCAGGACTCCCCGGCGAGGTCTGGCGCTCCGGCCGCCCCCGCCCAGGGCCGCCCCCCGGGTCCTCCCCGCCCGGGCTCCGCGCGCCGGACCAGCCTCGGGCTGCCGGGCAGCGGCGCGCCGGGGGAAGCGCCCTCCGCGCGCGCGGGGCGGGCGCCGGCACCGACCCTGGCCCGGGGCGGGGCCTGAGCCGCGGGACCCGCGCCCGGCCCGAGGCCCGGAAGGGGCCGGGCGCGCTTCCGTCTCCGCCGGGGATGCGCGGAGGGCGGAGCTGCGGCCCGAGGACGCGACGCGAGCCCAGTTCCGGCGAGGAGGCCGCGCCAGTGACAGCGATGGCGGCGGAGTCGGCGCTCCAAGTCGTGGAGCGGCTGCAGGCGCGCCTGGCCGCCAGCCCGGACCCGAAGAAGGTGAGCGGGCGGGCGCCGCGGCCGTTGGGCGCGGCGCGACCCCGTAACGGTCGCGGACCCGGGCGCGGCCCTTTCCCGACCGGCCGGAGCCGGGGGGGGGGGCTCGGACCCGGAGCCAGGCCCCGCCGGGCTCGGAACCGGGGCGCCGGGAAGTTCGCGGCCACTGGCCGCCCCCCGCGCGGCGAGACCCGCACGTCGGGCCTCGGCGGGCCCGATCCGCCCTCCCGGGCCGGGCCGGGCCGGGCCCCCGACGCGCAGGGGCGCGCTCGGGCGGACGCCGCGTGCCGGCGGGGCTCCCGGAGCCGCTCCCGCCGCGCCCGGCAGCTGCTGCCGGCGGGGAGCGACCTCGGAGCGGACTCCCGGCCGCGCCCCCCCCCGCGGCGCCCTGCCCGTCCCGCCGAGGTTGTCCGGCTGGAGAGGGGCTGCCGGGCGGGACGGCGTCGGGCTGTGTGGTCCTGCGTCCCCGGGAGACGCTCTTCTGGCTTTCGGGCTGGACACGCGAACGTGGCCTTTTCGCTTTCTCGGTAAATCTTTTCCAAAACAAAACAAAATAAACCTCACGTCACCGGGCTTGTGTACGCCAAAGACCGTAGGCTGGACTTGGAAAAAAAGAGCAAGGGTTAGAAGTTGCCGCTAGATCTGCTCTTGGCCCCCTCGGAAAGGTGAGAACTCCCGTTCCTCGTCGGTGCGATAAGCGGGCGACCATTTTTAATTGCACTCAGCTAGTTTTGTTTGTTTTTCAACTGTCACGGTAGATGCGCCCCCCTTCCCGACGGGGTGACCCGGCGTCAGGGGCGTCGGGTGGATTTTGTCACCGTGGGACACACCGGCGAGCAGCCGGGGGTGTCGGGCGCGTCGGCCCGCGTCTGGCGTGCGTGTCGGTGCCCGGGAGCGGGCCCTGCGCCCCTGAGCGCTGTGCGCTCTAAGAGGAAGTAATCCGGGGAGGCCGTCGAGATGCGTGGTGGCGGGACCTGGGCTATAATCCATTTACCAGCCATGGGTGTTGGGAGAAGTCTTGGCTGAACCTGTTTCCTCACCTGCTTCTTCCTAAGACTAAAGTAAAAGGTTAAAGCACCGGCTCAAAGGAAGTGCACAGTAGGTATTAATCATCACTCTAGACTTTTTCTAGAAGGGCCCCTTTCTCTTCACCTTTTCCCAGTCTGACATAGGTGAGGTTTCCTCTCCATTTCTTGGGTTGCACACAACTTATCATCAGGCCACTTTTAAACTCTTCTCATGCATACCTACATCAAAGATCACCCCTGCAGGAGGCCATTTTAGTATTAAATCTGTGAAAACTTGAATGCTTTCAGTTGCTTTGTGTTATATTTTCCTATTGTAGCTCCAGCACCCAGTGACCAAGCATATTTACAGATTTCTTTTTACAGTAATCCTTTGTGGGCATCTAATAGATGGTATTATTTGAGTACTAGTTTGTTTTTCCAAACACTGCAGGTTTGTGACTGATTTTAAAAGCTTAAAGCAGTCTTTGATTTTGATTTACTTTTATTTCTGTCTGGTTAAAAAAATGCTTCATGTACTAGAATTTAAATTTTTTGACGTAGGACTTCTAGTACTTGATGTGCATAAAATATCAAATTAGAGGTTTGTTTAGCTTCCATCCTACTTGAACTGATAGTGATTGTTGTGAGCATTTGGGCTTTCTATCCCCATATTAAAAAATCATCCTAAACTTCTGGCTTTGCACCATGTAATGAGCATTATTAAGATGAGAAAATGTTGGGAGACCATTTTTGCAAAGGGCACAATAGTTGGCATTCAGAAATGAGCTAACAGCGGAGGGAAAACTGCAAGCTGGCACACTAGCCTTCTTCTCAACCTTCTGTTAACCCAACAAGCTCCCACAGGTTGTTCCTGAAATTGCAAGGTGATTATATGGCAGTATTGAATTTGCAACTAAATCTTAATTCAAACCATTATTAGCGAAAGGGTTGATTCCACACCTGTGTTCATGGATTTCTGGTGCCAAGCATTGGTGCTATAAGCTCATCTATTTGGGGAGATGTCAGGCTGATGGTGATCTCTTGGTTCCTACTCCTGCTATTTAACTGGAAATAATTCTCATGGCTGGTAAAGTTACCTGTCCTGTGTTATATTTTGAATGTAAAAACTGTACCACAAACATAGTCTGATGACAAGTGGAGAGCGAGGGCTCCACATAATGAACATCTTTTGCTTTTTGGGTAGAAGGAGTTTGCAAAGGTCAGCTAAGATACCTGAGCTTGCACTGTGTGAATGTTTGACATTTCTCAATGACCTGTTAACAGTTTTTGCAAATTCTACAATTGGTCCCTTCGTGTGATAGCAGCAAGTTTCCACTTACTTGAGGATGCTCAAAGTGCTTTTACCTTGTTTTTGCTTTGTTCTTTCTTGAACTGCATTGAAAATAGAGGGGCTGTGCAATCCTTTTTCTCTTATGTGGACCTAAATCAGTTTGGAAATCTTGAGGGTTTAAATTTGTCTGCTTTTAAGTCACCCCCACTCACAAAGCAAAGCACAAAAGCATTATTTACACTTGCAGTTAGCAGCAGGCTTTGAATTGAACACATCCCTCAATGACTTCTGGCCCCAACCATGCATGTTGGCTTTGTAGAGGTGCCAGGTCTCTGTGCCCTTGGTGATCCCGACACTGGACTCGACACTGTTTAACAGCATGACACTGAGGTATAGCTCTTCCGCTTGTTTCAGGTGTGCTCACTGGCATGTGGCTACTGCTCTGTTTTCTAAGGACAGTGTTAGGATGCTGGCTTTTCTCTTGACTCTAGAGTACATGCTGTGGTGGACAAACTTGACTTACTAGCTTGGTAGACAGGTCACTTAACCTCGCCAGGCTATTTCAGTATCTGTAAAATGAGAATAATCTCCATTTTATAGAGATGGTTAATGAGAATGAACTTAGGTAACACATTTAAGGAGTTAGCATAGTGGATAGCATATAAATACCTCCCATGGAATGGCTTTAGGGCAGACCGTCTGTATTTAACCTTTTTGATGACTTGCTTTAAGAAAAGGAATTGGGGCCTCCCCGGTGGCGCAGCGGTTGAGCGCTGGGTTGCGAAGCTGCGCGCGGCCTCTGCGGCGCCTGTTCGATCCCCGGCTGCTCCCCGGCCACCAGAGGAGGGTCCCACATGGCGCGCAGACCTCTCCTGCCGCCCGCTGCTCCCCTCAGCAGTGTGCTTCGGTCCTTCTGCCTGCTCTGCTCCCCGCTCTGGCTCTGGTGAATTCTCTCGCCCTCCCGCGCTTCTGACTGTACCCAGTGCATGTATAAACAAAACAAACAAACAAACCAGCAAACAAATAAATAAAGCATGCCTCTATAAAAAAAAAAAAAAAAAAAAAGAAAAGGAATTGGTGTTAGTCTTCGCACCATTACTTGGGTGACGAGAAACACACATAAACTTTCTCCTGAGTTGGATGATGGTGATGATCAAATTTGAAGTGGAGGAGAAGTTTCACTGTACAAGTGAAACTCCCTAGGGGTCTCCCTGGTGGTGCAGGGGTTAAAGGCACGGTGCTGTCAAGCTCTTGCCAGCCACTGCAGCACCAGTTCGATCCCCAGCCAGGGAGCTGACCCACATGGCACAGCAGACCTCTCCTGTCTCACCCGCTGATCCCCTCAGCAATGTATTTCAGTCAATCCACCTCTTGTGCTCCCCACTCTGTCTCTGGTGAATCCCCTCACCCACCCACCCCCACACCTCTGGCCTATGCCCCAGTTCTTGTATACATAAATAAAAATAAATCTTAGAAAAAAAGTGAAACTCCCTAGATATGCCACTTGGCATCTTACTTGTTCCAGGCAGACAGGATTATCACGTCTGCACCAATTGCTCTGCCTAGTGACCATATTCAGTAATTATTGAAATAGAATGACCAGAAAAACATTCTTGCTACTCCACCTAATAGCAGTATGGCATACCAATTATAGCCCGGTTGGCACATGGAAAAAGAACCCATCTTGTTATCTAATATTTAAATGCAAACCTAGTGAGGTTGTCTGTTTGGAACTACATGTACTTTGCGGCACTCCTCAGGTGGTAATATGCATGTAAATATTTCCTGAAGAAAGATATAGCCAATCATGACTTTTGGTAGGAATGCAGCAAGTAGGAATTGGCTGGGGACTCTCTCGCTGAGGGTCAAGGGTGAATACCCACAGCTTGTGAAGTAGCAACAGGATCCAGTTCCTATTTTACTAGTGAAGTAACAGAGGTTCAGGGAGGTTACTGACTTGCACAAGATCACCCTACAAGGCGGAGTCAAGGCGGCCAAGCTCTGATGCCCGTCTGTGACTCCAGAACTCTTTTTAACAGCTTTGCTATCATGCTTTTGACCTACTTTTAGGAACTACAGAAAGGAAATGTGGCCAAGCCCAGATCTTTTTTCTGATCTACCCAGACATTTTGATTTTGTGTTTATCACTAACAGCAAGGCTCTAATTCTGATAACTTCTCACTTGTATCCAAAATAATAGATAACAGTTCTGTTAAACACTGTCACTCTTCCTGGAAACATGACACTTTTTTCCAGTAGAAACTTCTCTTTACTTTTCTTTGTGCAGGGGCCATGGGTAATTTTCCTAAAATTGGTGCCTTTCTCAGAAATTCTCTCTCCAAATGGGTGAAATGATAGTTGTTGATGACTGTTAGCGTTGGTGGGTTTGGCTCTCTTCTCTAAGTCTACTACCTCTTGTGAGTGTTTGAAAGCACAGAATCTAAAGCCACAGACCTGAGTGACTCCTTCCCTATTTGCATCCAGGGGCAAATAACTTTTCTGAGCCTGTTTTTACACTTATAAAATAGGCATGATAACCATACCTGGTTAGCACTGAGTCAGCACTTAACTGCCAGATACTATTCTTATCTCTTCCAGTGAATGATTATGATTTTATAGAAATTAATGTTTATTTCATTCTTTCTGCAGCTATTGAAATATTTGAAGAAACTCTCCACCTTGCCTATTACAGTAGACATTCTTGCGGTAAGAACTTTGTAACTTTAGATATAACTGTTTCCCATCCCCTTCCCACTGGGAGAAATTGTACAGTAAGATTAAGAGTGTGGGTTTTGAAAGTGAAAGCAATCATTGTATGATTCTGTTTTTATGATAATGTATAGGACATACAAGTCCATAGACAGAAAGTAGATTAGTGCTTGCCAGGGAGCAGGGAAAATTGGGAAAAAGGTTTTCTTTTTAGGGTGATGGAAATGTTCTGGAATTAGATAGTGGTGGTGGTTGTAAGTGTTCTGGAAATTACTGACTAAATCTTTTAAAATGGGGAACTGTATAAGTTTTATTTCAAAATTTTTCATAAAGAATTAAAAGAACATTGATTGGAGCATCAGTGAGTCCTGGATTCATATGCAATTTCTAGTCCTTCTTTGTAAAATGGGGCTGATTCCTGCCTCTGGGAGTTGTAAGGGTTGAATCAGATACTGTCCCCAAAGCTGTTAGCTCTGTGCCTGACACCTGCTACAACCACTCTTGTTATTATTGTTAAAGTTCTAGAAATGTTTTAATTCATTGTTTTCCACTTCTAAACCTGGTGTGCTTTTGCTAAACTGTTCGGAGCATGGACACAAAGTAATTTTGTATTAAAAGTTGCAAGGTATATTTCATTAAGGAAGTGTTGCTTTGTTGAGTTTCTCAAAGCAAGAGCCTTATTTCTTAAGAAAATTGTGAACCTGGTTTCACAACCCTCTAACAATTCTTTATTCCACTTGTAGGAGACTGGGGTTGGGAAAACAGTGAATAGCTTTCGAAAACATGAGCATGTCGGAAGCTTTGCCAGGGACCTAGTGGCCCAGTGGAAGAAGTTGGTTCCTGTGGAACGGTAAGGACATTACTCGTAGACTTATTCAACTGAATGGTTGGAGGATTTACACACAGAAAAGCTTTTTATTATTATTTCTCTGCCTTTTTTATGTATTCATTTTACCTTAATTATAGAAATAAACTATGATCATTATAGACTATTGAAAAATATTTTTAAAATAAAATCAGTTTCCTTTCTTATCACTTTATCCATGTAAAGCATGTTAAAATTTCTTATAATTCTACAATCCAAAGATAAGCATGATTAACATCTTCTTAAAAGGCCTTTTTATATAGTTATGAACAAATTATACAACTAATAGCCCCTTTTCTATCTAACAACAGTTTAACAATGGGTCTAGTATGTCCTCATGTTAAAAAAAACATTGTAAGCAGTTTCTTATCCATATGATTTAAAATTTTTTTATTTTCTTTTTAAAGATTTCTTTATTTATGCATTCAAGAACTGGGGTACAGGCCGGAGGTGTGGGGGGTAAGAGGATTCACCAGAGACAGAGTGGGGAACAGAACAGGCAGACTGACTGAAATACACTACTGAGGGGAGCAGCGGGCGAGACAGGAGAGGTCTGCTGCACCATGTGGGTAGCTCCCTGGGTGGGGATTGCGATACATGTGCTGCATTGGCTGCAGACAGCTTCATAGGTTGCATCTTATCCCCTGGTAGGCCTGATTTTATTTTTGTGTAGAAAAACTGGGGTGTAGTTCAGAGGTGCAGGGGTGAGAGCATTCACCAGAGAGAGTGGAGAGCAGAACAGGGGGATCCAATGAAATACACTGCTGAGGGGAGCAGCAGGCGAGATAGGTCTGCTGCGCCATGTGGGTCAGCTCCCTAGCCAGGAATTGAACTCAGGCTGTCACGGCAGGCCATCATGGTGACAGCATTAAGACTTAACCCCTAGGGCCTCCCCAGTGGCGCAGCGGTTGAGCGCTGGGCTGCGAAGCTGCCCGCAGCCTCTGCAGAGCCAGTTCATTCCCCGGCTGCCGGTCGAGGGTCCCACATGGCGGCAGGGTCTCTCCTGCCGCCCACTGCTCCCCTCAGCAGTGTACTTCATCAGTCTGCCTGCTCTGCTCTCTGCTCTGGCTCTGGTGGATTCTCTCGCCCTCCCGTGCTTCTAACTGTACCCAGTGCTTATATAAATAAATCAATAAATCTTTAAAAAAAAAAAAAAAAGACTTAACCCCTAGGCCAGGAGCAAGGCCCCCATATCCACAAGATTCTAATCTTCTTTGTATCCTATAGTTACATTCTTTTCTACTTGTTGAATATTTGAGTTTTCCCAGTTTTAAAGCATCATGAAGTATCTGCTGAGCAGAACCCATCTTCTTTCTCTGTATGCGCTTCATCCCTCTGAACAAGGATGACATTGAGATTTCTTTCTGATTTTTATTCTATTTTAGAAACAATGAGCCTGATGAACAGGACTTTGAGAAAAGCAATTCCCGTAAGCGTCCCAGGGATGCTGTTCAGAAGGAGGAGGAGATAGAGGGGGACTATCAAGAAAACTGGAAGGCTTCCAGTAGCCGATCATATAGCCCCGATCATAGACAGAAAAAAAACAGGAAACTCTCAGAGCTTGAGAGAACTCACAAAGTGTCTCACAGCCATGAGCGGAGAGACGAGAAAAAGAGGTGCCACAGAAATTCACCAGTTTACTCTTCAGACCATGAATCTTCTGATTATGGCCACGTTCAGTCCCCTCCATCATGTGCCAGTCCTCATCAGATGTCCATGGACCATTACAGATCCCCAGAGAAGGACCCCGAACCCCTTGTTCCACATCAGAAGGCTGGAAAGGGCCATAGTAATGCCCTTCAGGACAGACTGGGGGTTGGTCAGGAACGACACCCAGGTGAGTCCCAGGGGAAAGGGGCTGTGAGTCAGAACAAGGAGCACAAATCTTCCCACAAGGACAAGCGCTTGGGGGATGCCAAGGGAGATGAGAAGTCCTCTTCAAGCAGAGAGAAGTTGCACAAGGCCATTTGCAAGGAGGAAAACCGAAGGCTGCTCTCCAGCGATAGCACAAAGGAGAAAGCGCCCTCTAGTGGTTTCAAGAAGGAGAAGGAAAAAGAGGGCAGCACCAAGAAGAAGTTTTTAGCCCCTTTGGAGGTTGCTTCCGACAACCACCTTAAAAAGCCAAAGCACAGAGACTCAGAGAAAACCAAATCGGACAAAAACAAGCAAAGTATAAACAGCTTGGACATAGGAAAGGGGGCAGGAGACCTGCCCAAGGTAAAAGAGAAGGTTTCTAACAACCTAAAGAATCAAGAAGGGAAAGTAAAAACTCATTTGGATCGGAAGTCAGGGGGCTCTCTTCCAAAAGGTGAGGATGCAGACATGGACGATGAGTTTGAGCAACCCACCATGTCTTTTGAGTCATACCTCAGCTATGACCAGCCCCGGAAGAAAAAGAAAAAGATTGTAAAAACTTCAGCCACAGCTCTCGGAGAAAAAGGACTTAAAAAGAATGATTCAAAAAGCACTAGTAAAAATTTGGACTTGGTTCAGAAATTACCTAAGGTGAATGAAAACAAGTCAGAGAAGCTTCAGGCTGCTGGAGCCAATTCAGCCAAGCTGAAAAAGGTAACCACTCAGCCCCTGGGTGGCTTCCCATTCAGACCACCTGCCCCCGTAGAGCTCCCAGCACCCACCCTACTGGTATTTTGCTTGACTTGCTTTTACTGACATGTTGAATTTCAGTTTGAGGTCATTTCCTCTGAGCCTCCCCAGTTGCCAGGGCAGGTAGTAGCCAAGGTAGTATTTTTGGAGGCCTCCTGTTGTGCTGGGTCCCCTCTAGATGTATTTCCTGATGTGGGTGGTGTCTGGATCTGCCTGCGAAGTTATCTGCCTAGTCAGCACCGCTGAGGATGGACTAGGTGAGCAAGCTGTGCTTGCAGAGAGGGGCTCCCCAGTCACTGGTCTCTTCTCTGCAGGTCCCCACCGATCTATTGCCAGTGTTGCCAGACCTCCCACTCCCCGTAATACAGGCCAATTACCGTCCGCTCCCTTCCCTCGAACTGATCTCCTTCCAACCAAAGCGAAAAGGTAATTTTCTTTAGCTTTTCTTAAGTGGAAAAGGTTTTTTAAAAATGTATTCATGATCTGGTGACAGATTTGAAGCATTTTTTTTGAGTTTGAATCCCAGCTCTAGCTTGTACCAGTTATTGAGCTTGGCTAGTGACTTAATTTCCTTGGACTTCAGTTTCATACTCTGTGCATGAGAGAAGTAATGGTATCTACTGCATAGGGTTGTTAAGTAGATTAAAAGTGATAAACACTGGTGAAGCTCTTAGTGCTTGGTTTTTCCACATAGTAAATGTTCAGTAAATCTTAGCTGCTGCTGTTTTAGTGGTTCTTTATATATTCTGTGTGAGCTTTTTATCTTTAAAAAGTCTACTTTTAATAGCAAAAGAGTGATATGGCCTATAAGCATGTTAGCAAGAGACTAAGAGCTAGATCCTGGCTCTCCCACATGGTAGCATCCTGTAAAATGCGTGGAGGGGATGATTTCTTTTTTTTCTTTTTCTTTTTTTAAGATTATTTATTTATTTATTTTTAAAGATTTATTTATTCATTTATACAAGCACTGGGTACAGTCAGAAGCACGGGAGGGTGAGAGAATTCACCAGAGCCAGAGCTGGGAGCAGAACAGACAGACTGACGAAATATACTGCTGAGGGGAGCAGCAGACACAGCGGGAGAGGTCTGCCATGCCATGTGGGACCCTTGCCCGTGGCCGGGGATCAAACCGGCACTGCAGAGGCTGCGGGCAGCTTCACAGCCCAGTGCTCAACCGCTGCGCCACCGGGGAGGCCCTTTTAAGATTTTTTAAAGATTATTTATGCATACAAGAACTGGGGTACAGGCCAGAGGTGCGGGTTGGTGAGAGGATCCACCAGAGACAGAGCAGGGAACAGAACAGGCAGATTGACTGAAATACACTGCTGAGGGGAGCAGCAGGTGAGACAGGAGAGGTCTGCGCCATGTGGGTTTGTCCCTGGACGGCTGGGGATCGAGCTCGTGCTGCAGAGGCTGTGGATTGCTTCATAGTGCCGTGCTTAACCCCTTGTGCCACCAGGAAGGCCCCTGAGGGGATGATTTCGAAGATGTGATAAGTGAAACAGTTGATAACATGTTATTAATTGGCTTAAAAGAGTAATTTTTCTTGAAGGATATGGAAAGAACTGGAAGCATTGAATGCCTTGAGGAAGGGAACTGGGAGGCTGAGGAATGGGGTGGAAAGGAGAGCTTTCACTCTGTAACTTAGTACCTTGAGTAATTTACATTCCTGTTCTTGTCCTGTAGCACTCTCTTCACCCCATGAAGAGGAAGAATCTGGATTCACTGGACGAAGAATGAATTCTAAGATGCAGGTGTATTCTGGTTCCAAGTGTGCCTATCTCCCCAAAATGATGAGCTTGCACCAGCAGTGCATCCGGGTCCTTAAAAATAATATTGACTGTAAGTCCTATGCCTGTCTTTCGCCCCTAAGTACACTATAGCACTGGGCCCTTACTGCTCGGCAGTCTGGCTGCCACTCAGCACTTTCACCTTTGGTTCTCTGCAGCAATCTTTGAAGTGGGAGGTGTCCCATATTCTGTCCTTGAACCTGTTTTGGAGAGGTGTACCCCTGATCAGCTGTGTCGCATAGAGGAATACAATCACGTGAGTATCCTGTTGAGTAGAAAGAGAACAGTTTTCTGGCTCATGGTTCTGGAAGTAGCTTTGTCTTTGTGAAACTACCATGACTGAAGGGCAGGCTGGAGGTCTGATTACTTTGTTGGGCATATTTGGTTTGCCTGCGGGCCTATAAACATGCATATTCCTTGCTTCTGTGGGCCTCTTGGGCTATCAAGGTGAGATTAAAGGGAGTAAAAAGCATCCAAGCCTGGTGTTGATATTCAAGTGTTGAATGAAAAGAGTGCAGGTTGTCTCAAAAAATCCTTCCCATAGTGCTGGGGCACACTCATTTGATATTAGGTCTCTCTAATGCCAGGGACATTAGAGACCTAATGTCTCTAATTAGGAGACATAACCTAATTTTTGTGTTGTTTTCTCTCTTAACTCCCCAAAACAGCTAGTACAATGCCTTGCACTTAACTTGTTTTTTAATGAAATGATTTGATTTACTCCTAGAACTATGTTGTTTTTTTAAAGATTTATTTATTTATGCATACAAGAACTGGGGTGCAAGCCAGAGGTGTGGGGAGGGTGAAAGGATTCACCAGAGACAGAGTGGGAAACAGAACAGAACACTGCTGAGAGGAGCAGCAGGCGAGTCAGGAAAGGTCTGCTGTGCCATGTAGGTATCTCCCTGGGCGGGGATCGAACTTGTGCTGCAGTGACTGCAGACAGCTTCATAGGTTGCGTCTTAACCCCTAGTGCCACCCGGGAGGCCCAGAACTATGGTGTTTTTTTTTTTTTTTTAAAGATTGATTTATTTATTTATACAAGCACCGGGTACAGTCAGAAGCGCGGGAGGGTGAGAGAATTCACCAGAGCCAGAGCGGGGAGCAGAGCAGGCAGAAGGACCGAAGTACACTGCTGAGGGGAGCAGCGGGCGGCAGGAGAGGTCTGCGCGCCATGTGGGACCCTCCTCCGGTGGCCGGGGAGCAGTCGGGGATCGAACAGGCGCTGCAGAGGCTGCGGGCAGCTTCTCAGCCCAGGGCTCAACCGCTGCGCCACCGGGGAGGCCCGAACTATGGTATTTTAATGTAATACTATGAGAATCAAAAAATTAATAGGAAGCTGGTCATCCCTAGGTAATTAAGAATGGAAAGAGATCAGTAAGAGAGCTGTGTACAAGTGATGTCCTGTATACATGACACTTCTAGGTATTAATCGAAGAAACAGATCAATTATGGAAAGTTCACTGTCACCGAGACTTTAAGGAAGAAAGACCAGAAGAGTATGAGTCTTGGCGGGAGATGTACCTGCGGCTCCAAGATGCCCGGGAGCAGCGGCTGCGATTACTGACAAAGAACATCCAGTCTGCGCATGCCAACAAGCCCAAAGGTGAAGGGGTTGGGAGCCAGGGACCACCAGCAGGGCAGGGCCTGGCAAGATAGTGAGCCCTGTGCTCAGCAATGGTAGGGCATTGGTGGGCTCACTGGGTGGGACCTCTGGCTCTTGAATCACTCTTACATCTGCAGGAGAACATGAAGGTATGTTTCTCTCCTGCTGCCACCTGTGCTACCCTTAAGTGTGCTGTTCAAGGTTGATAATCCCCTAGCTTTGGGTGTACTTGAAAAGGCTTCATTTCTTAGTAGTGTGCATTATTTATTTATTTATTTATTTTGGTGGGGCCCTCGCCAGCGGCCGGGGAACGAACTGGCGCTGCAGAGGCTGCGGGCAGCCTTGCAGTCCAGCGCTCAACCGCTGCACCACCAGGGGAGGCCCAGTAGTGTGTATTATTAAAATAACTACCATCTCTGCTCAGGCAGGTGTTAATGTCCATGTTTTTCCATAGGCCGACAAGCAAAGATGGCTTTTGTCAACTCTGTGGCCAAACCACCTCGAGACGTTCGAAGAAGGCAGGAAAAGTTTGGAACAGGAGGAGCAGCTGTGCCTGACAGAGTCAAGTAAGAGTTCTGTTCCACTGTGGTTTCCCGTGTCAGGGAAGAGCACCCAAGAGCTTGTCATCAACTCAAAGGGGCAGCAAGTGATTCCATGAGCCCCAGCTTCCTTGATTGCAGTGGGCTGAGTAATGACACCTGCCTCTTGGGGATCAAGAATAAATGGAAAACAGGGCCTGGCTTCTGGGAAACTTTCCCTTATGATTCTTCTTTCCCCATTTAAACTAAAAGGCAATACTGTGGTGAAGATGAAACTATATAATTAAGTCACGTTGGCATTTTCAGAATACAGATTTACACCCAAACAGTGCAAGGTTAGGCGAGATTATCTTTCATGCCGGAAGGCTAATGCTCTCACCTCTGAGCCACCACCGGACTTCAGGCGCTGTGGTTACTGGTCAAAGCCACAAAACCGTGTCCTCCCCAGATAGGCCACTTTCAGGCTGTTGGGGCCAAGGACAGGCTTCTCATGTTCCTGATTAACCCCGGCGTCACTCTGTTACAGGATTAAGCCAGCTCCCTACCATACTGGAAGTAGCCACACTCCCTCCAATAGTGGCTGCAGCAACAGCTTTAACTCCAGCCCTGAGGAGCCGGCCTATGACGGCCCAAGCACCAGCAGCGCCCATTTGGCACCCATGGTCAGCAGCACTGTGTCCTATGATCCCAGGAAACCGACTGTGAAGAGTAAGTGACTCAGGGCTCCTGATCAGATATTTCAAAACTAGTATTTGAACCCTTTTGATACCATCACCACTGCCTGGCGTTTGGTGCATAGGATGTAGTGTGTGCCATGCCTTCTGCAGAGCTGGCCTGGATGCCTGTGCCTCCTTCCCCCACTTGTTCATCATGCATGGGTATCTTTGAGTGAATGAGCATGGTGAATATTCATGCTGCTTTTTTTAAACCTAAATGTAAACCTGTTTTTGCAGACACTAGCATGGGTTTCATAATTACAATTAACATCAAGTGATAGTCTATGTTAGTGGGGTTTTATGAAACTTGAGATCCAAGTATTTTTTGTATTTAGTTGGGTCTATTTATTTTATTAATTTTATTACCACCTAACTTAATTAGACCATCATTCTATATTTACTTCAGGGCTCCTTGGGGAGTGGGATCACCCAGCCAGCTCAAGCTTTGGCTATGCTCAGGTCGCTCAGTCCCAAGGGCAGCCAGTGTCCTTCAGTGCTGCTTACAGTGAGCTTCTCTTAGCCCCTTGCTACACTGAACAGCAAGGTAGAGGGGTTTTGGGTTTTTTTTTTTTTTTTTTTAATTTATTTATTTATTATTTATACAAGCACGGGGTACAGTCAGAAGCGCGGGAGGGTGAGAGAATTCACCAGAGACAGAGCGGGGAGCAGAGCAGGCAGAAGGATCGAAGTACACTGCTGAGGGGAGCAGTGGGCGGCAGGAGAGGTCTGCGCGCCATGTGGGACCCTCCTCCAGTGGCCAGGGAGCAGCCGGGGATCGAACCAGCACTGCAGAGGCTGCGGGCAGCTTCACAACCCAGCGCTCAACCGCTGCGCCACCAGGGAGGCCCGGTTTTGGGGTTTTTGGGGCTGGTTTGGATACTGGTGAGGTAGTTAGATTATGGCTCACTGTGGCCTTTAGACGCTGGCAAGGATTGAATTCCAGTTTTGCCACTTAGTGTATAACCAGAGACAAGGGTCCAGTCTCTGAGTCTTGGGGAGGTGGTTAGAATTAGAGATCATGACTGCCCTGGGCCAGCAGGTGCTCAGTGAGCCTTGGCTCTGTACCTGTTTTGATTCTGGCGCTAGGGGCCGCTTGTGACGCAGAGCCGGGAGGACCCAGGCCTAGCCTGGACATAAACCACCAGTGGTGTGTGTCTGAACTGCTGTGGATCTGAGTCAACTGCCTTGCTTTCTTTTCACAGAAATCGCCCCAATGATGGCCAAGACAATTAAAGCTTTTAAGAACAGATTCTCCCGAAGATAAACCGAGGACTTGCCTTGGAGCTGAAATTTGGGGGGAGGAATACAAGGACAATGGGAATTGGAGAATGGACTTCCAAAGGAGACCAGAATCGTTGATCTCTGAATCCTGCAGTTTGTAGGGGCTCCCCCATGAGCCTGTGCACAGCCACTGCCTCCTGCCTGGAGAACGCTTCAGAACTCTGAGGAAGATGTGAAGCCTCAGTCTCACTGAGGATTTTAAGGTCAATTATACTTTTGTTGTTAATTAGCTTCTTTGTAAACTACAAGGCATAGTTTTAATTAATAAATATTGCCCCCAGATTGTATTTATATTACCCCCCAGGTTATTTTGTTTTGTTGGGGGTGGTTTTTTGTTTTTTTTTTCCTCTTTTTGTTCCTCTACCACATGCTTGGCCCTTTATTTTCAGGGTCCTTTATTAAAGCTGGTTGAAAGCCATTCGCCTGCCCCAGTTCAGCTCTCCTGAGCCTGGGCATCCCCAGAGCCTGAGTGGTGCCTGCTGCTCATGGGCCCGAGAGTGAGTGCTGGGCTGCCTATGAAGGGAACTTATGCCTCCCAGCCCCTGCTCAGTGTTGCTTTGAATCCTATGCAGGTGCATCTCTCTCACTCACTAAATAGTATTTATTAAGGGAGGTTATCTGTAAAGGTCTAGTCTTTCCTCCAACCTTTTAGCCAGTTCCTTTTTTTTTTTTTTGAGGCTCACTAGAGGTCACAAAATTTGGGAGATCAGTCTGCACAGAACCCCAGCATTTTTACAATTTTCTGATTCAAAATTTTAGGTCTTTTACCTCCCCAACTTTTCCTTCTCATTAACCCGGGGGGAAAAGAGGCACATGGCAGGGCTTTTTGTAGCTCCTGGAACACAACTTTAGAGTTTTAAACGCCAGCACTTTAATCTCTTGTTCCCTATGAATTGCTGTAACAGGAGAATGGTTTTTAAAGTCACAATGCTATGTTGGAAACGGTTTTTGCTTTTGCCTTTTCTTTACAAGATCATGTGATTGGAAGAGCACAAGTTTGCTCTGTTTTATAGAGAACTGTGCAGGTGACGCTCTCTCTACCTTTTGGGTGATGAAGACAGAATGTGAAAGAAAGGGCCAACTTAGGGAAAGGGAGCAGTAGTATCAGGATGAGGGAGAACCCCAAGGGCATCCATCCAGTTGTGGGAGGAAGGCTCTCACTTTCCACTTGACACCAGTCGAGATCAGAATTAGGAGGACAGTGTTAGCGTCTGTCTTGGCTGTTGAACTCTGACCCAGTAGGATCCCACTGGTTGTCACCCAGGTGGAAGCAGATGCTCTAAATTTGAGGTGCCTGTCCTTAGCAAACCCAGGAGCAGACTGAGGGTGTGGTTACAGTGACAACCCGAGGGGCCAAGGCAGTCCATTCCCTCAACTTGCTCACAGCCGCAGGTGTGGAGCCCCCTGTTTTTAACCATCTTGCACACCTGGGGCCAACTTTGCAGAAGCCAGAGCAATGCAGGAAATCTGTGCAACAAAAGCAAAAACTGCACTGTTCTGCGCACACTGCAGTGCAGGGCGCCTGTTGCAACCGGATACATGGTATTGCTGTTTTAATTTGCTGTATTTCTATTTGGGTAAAGCATTGTTTCACTTGATCATTTGTATTGCCCTTCCACCTCTGTTACCTCGCCTGTTCCCAAATCTGATATAGGAAGCCTCTTACCTAAAACTCAGTGAACATCTGGGTCAGCTACCCGACACCTGATCCCTAGAATAGCTTCCTCAGGTGTCCTGCACCTTGACCTGTCTCTCAGCTGTGTTCTGATCTCTGGCCTTGAAACCAGTTCATATTTCAGATTCAGTTGTGTGTCACCTCATTTCCTTTACTAGGAATCTAGCAAACAGGGAATTAGGGACACATATTTTCTCATCCCATCACTACTCATTTTTGGCACAAAGCATTGCCTCTGGCTGCCTAGAGCCAGATTTTTCTGTCCTCTCCCTCCAAGCGTGTCTGCATCAGGAATGTGACTTGGTGAGAAGAGTAAGGAGGGCAAGGGAAAAAACAAACATCTTAGCGACCTCCTCACCAGGTTATTGAAATGGCTGCAGAGCAGACACGGGATGATGTGGTCTCATTTGTGAAAACTTGTGCAGTTTTTCCCTGTGCTACACTACATACAAATCACCTGTTTGAAATTAACCCTTTGTGACCCTTGGTGCAATGAGCAGCTTCTTTGGGGCTTTCTCTTTCTTTCTGGGAAGTGGGAGGGAAGAGAGCAAGGTCTCATCTTGCTCTTCATTTGTATTTTGGTCCCAAAATGTAAATACAATTTTCTATGTTACTTTTTTGTGGTAACTACCAAGATGAATATTTTAATTAGATAAGTTATATGAAAAGGAAATTCCATGTCTAAATAAAAAAAAACAAAAAGCCCATGTACTGTTGTCTTGCTTGTGTGAAACAGGAGCTGGGATGGACATGTCTGATTCCCACCCCGTGAGGCAGACCTTAACCCTTGGGTTGGGCCACAGAAGACGTCAGATTTCTATAGCACAGTAGGAATTGTGGGCAAGGGGAATTCTGGGGAAACTCAGGTAAAAATGGACACTTAGTGGGGGGACCCTGGGACTGCGCTATTAACCCCATTTTACAGGTAGAGGCAGAAACTTAGAAGGGTGAAATAAGGTAGTCAAAGCCACATAGTAATTGGCAAAGGAAAGGATTTAAGACCCTGATGCTCTCACTGCAAAGCATGTCCTTCTACCTTTCAGCCACCTCCAGGGGAGGGGAGGAGCGTGTGAAGGATCAGGGCAGGGAGGTCTCCCCAGTCTCACATCTTCCTAAATAGAACACCATGACCACTAGCACAGAGGGGTCAGCAAGGACCTAAGTAGCACCCTCCCGGGTGACCCTGGTTGAGCTGGTGCAGCTAAGGTCTTGGTTTCAGCCCCTGCATCCACAGGTCGAATCTTAAACCTACATCTCACAGCAACACGTTTTTATTATCCCTTCTTGCCTAAAGGGGCGTCCTTGGTGTGTGACCTGGACTTGCTTTTCCCAACTTTTTTTTTTCAAAGATTTATTTATGCATACAAGAGCTGGGGTACAGGTCAGAGATGCGGAGGGTGAGAGGATTCACCAGAGACAGAGTGGGGAACAGAACAGGCAGCCTGACTGAAATACGCTGCTAAGGGTAGCAGCGGGAGAGACAGGAAAGGTCTGTCTTGCCATGTGGGTTGCTCCCTAGCCGGCCAGGGATCGAACTTGTGCTGCAGTACCTGCGGATTGCTTCATAGAGCGGTGCTTAACCCCTTGCGTCACCAGGGAGGCCCCCGATTTTTTTTAATAGGATCTCATTCTCGCTGTTAGAAATGACTACACTCTGAAGTTAATGATGGAATGTGATATCCAATGGATGACTTTACCTGAAGTCTATGAGTTAGCCCTTGTCTCTTATTCATCGAACACCTGCCAGGACTTGTATTAGACCCTGGGATACCGAGTAATTAGACCCTGGGATACCGAGTAACACAAGCCGTTGCTCACAGGCAGGTAGGAGAGACCTTGCTGGTGATGATCAGTCTGTGCCCAGCATCACTGTCTCAGTTGTCACGGGGGACCTACCGGGTAGGGAGTCATGGCCCTATTTTGAAAAAGAATTGCAAGGCAGAAATGAGGAATTTTCCCGGGGCCAAGCCATTGCTGAGCAGTGGCACTGTGTGCCGGCCTGACTCCCAAGCACATGTTCTCAAGCACATGTCCCAGCCCCACCATCTGTAAAATGGGAACCACACCCCACAGGGATTCTTGTGAGGATTCAATGAGAGAATAAATCTTAATATCCTTTCATTCCCTGTAGAGCTGGAACAAACAGAAAAGTTTGTGTCCTCTTGAAGCCAGACAGTCTGTCCTGACAACTGGAATCTTAGCCCTGCTGGCTCCAGATGGGCTTAGCTCAACTTCTCTGTTTTGGGACTCTGAGCTTACTCTTTCAGGTCCTTATACTATAGCCTCTAACAATTAAATTAGGCAGATTCTACCTAATTTCTTATCTCAGGGATCACGAACTCACATATGGCGTTTGGGATAAAGCAGTGGAGAGTGGTGGGAACAAAAGGAGGAGAACTCCCCCTTATCCACAAGGGATACATCCCAGACACCATGCCTGAGACCTCCTCTAGGCCCAGCTTCTCTTATGTAACCACACCCTTTTTAGTGTAATTCATAGGTTAAACAGCAGAGATTAACAACAACATAGAACAACGTTCAGTAACAAGTTATGTGAATGTGGTCTCTCAAAATCTCTGCCTCAGATTTTCAGAAGTGAGTGTGACTGCCCATAAGGAAGCTGTGGAAAGCGACAGTGGGGATGCTGACAGCTCCCTCTGACAGTGTGCAGTTGGAAGCTGGGCCAGTGTTGCCAGACCATCTGCGTTTTTTTAAAAAAACATATCTAGACTTACCCACAAGATTTCTCAGTTTTTAAAACCCGGTGCCACAACTCTATGCAACCTATCAGAAAGCCTACATGACGTGGATAATTTTCCATAAAAATCCAGGTGACCTTATAATGAGGGCAAGTCTAAATGGGCTGATTACCATGAAAAGACAGAGAAAGCCACCGGAGAGTCTCCTTGGATAACAAGTTCCAGGCCCAAGATGGCACCGCAGGGGAATTCTTTAAACCTAAAGTTCAGATAATACCAATGCCACTTAAACTATTCCAAAGATGGGCCGGCCTGGTGGCGCAGTGGTTAAGACAGCGCTGTCAAGATATCACCAGTCACTGCAGCACGAGTTCGATTCCCGGGCCAGCCAGGGAGCTACCCACATGGCGCAGCAGACCTCCCCGCCCTCATCTGCTGCTCCCCTCAGCAGTGTATTTCAGTGGATCTGCCTATTCTGGTCACCACTCTCGTGAATCCTCTCAAACCCCTCCGCCTCCACCCCATACCTCTGGCTTACACCCCAGTGCTTGTATGCATAAATAAATAAATCTTAAAAAAAAAAAAAAAAAAACAAAACCAAAAAACTATTCCAAAGAGAAGAAAGGAAAGAAACTGCTAACCAAGCTATTGTAAGAGCCACATTAAAACTGGGTAAAGATTGTGCCAATAAGGGCCTCCCTGGTGGCGCAAGGGGTTAAGCATAGCACTGTGAAGCAATCAGCAGCCTCTGCAGCACGAGTTCGATCCCCGGCCAGCCAGGGAGCAACCCACATGGAGCCACAGACCTTTCCTGACTCTCCCGTTGCTCCCCTTAGCAGTGTATTTCAGTAGACCTGCCTGTTCTGTTTCCCATTCTGTCTCTGGTAAATCCTCTCACCCCCACATTTCTGGCCGGTACCCA